AACTCCGCAGACATACCGCTGTGCCACTGGGGGCCAATACAGATTGCAAACGTTTAATTGTTTGCTTATTTAAACGTTCTTAACACATTGGCTGCAATGTAACCCCCACCGGTGAGTCACAGACAATTATGTTTCAAAGCCAAATTGCTCTTGTGACATATGAGTTTGGGACACCTTTTGAATGATTCATTTTATTTATTATGTTGCAAACAACGTGTTAAATTCTATAAGTAGCTGGTTTTTTCTGTTTTGCATAATTCACTCATTTGACGAATTACACCTGTTTTTTTTTTACGCCCTTATGATAATTAAACTACATGAATGAAAGTCCGTTAAAATGTTAATAATGAGCTTATTTTTACGCCGCATTAACTTACAGTGAAGTTGAAATCTGTGCCGTTACGAAACGTTTACATGTTGTTTTTTTCGCGATTACCATCGTTGTGAGAAGTCAGATTCCCCCTGGCGACTAAGCGGTAAGTTTGACATTTAACCTACCATATAGCTAATGAATAAAAAAAAAAATATTGCTTCTGGTCGTTGAGAAAGTTCGTGTGTCGTAAAATACCGAGTTTATTATTATTATTTTTTTATTATAAGTGAATTTGTTTGTTTGCAGTTAAGCACAAAGCTATACAATAGTCTGTGTTGTGCCCATCACGGGTATGAAAAGCTGGTTTCTAACATCGTTCGAAAGGTTCCAACTCCTTGGTATCAAATAGAATGTAGTCTGATTGTTTGTTTGTTGAATTTCACGCAAAGCTCCTCTAGAGCTACCTGCGTAAGTCGTCTTTAATGTTCAAGTGATAAACTAGAGGGAAGACAGCTAGCCAATATCACCCACGGCCAACTTTAGGCCTACACTATACCAACGAATAGTGTGATTGACCGTCACATTATAATGTCTCTACGGCTGAAAGAGCGATCATGTTCGGTGACGGGATTCTAACCCACGACCCGCAAATTAAGAATCGAGTTCTTTAATCACCAGGTCTACTCTGGTTATATCGTCGGTCCAGATTTTTTACTGAAGAGGTTGAATGTCTGTTTACACTGGTAAGTTTATGTATAGTTTATGGATATTTATGAATTAGTTGAAAAGCGCCACCAGGTAGGAACAATACGAATTGGACCTGTTAGTATGCTATTCAACGCAAAACGTAACACGTTATTTAGAAAAGGCAGGAAGTCTGGTTTGGTAAATTTACAATAATAACGAATAATGATGTAAAAAGTAAAAGCGGTTGCTGATGGTCGATTGCCTTTCTATGACCAGTGGTTTCGGAATTACGGATGATATCCCGCCATCTGGCTGGACCAGTGAAAAATGTGCTACGACGGGAATCCCTAACTGGATAGAGGAGAAAGCCTGTGATTTGGCCGGTGCTAAACCCCTCTAGCATGTAAATAAAACCAATCAACTGAATGTGTTACCTCAAAGGTAATGAGGATGCTTTATTCGGTATCATAACATAATGACTCGGTTCAAGAGAAGGGCCCAGTTATTATGATGCCAAAATGACTCGAGTTAAGAAGAGGACCTAGGAATTATGATGTCAAAATGATACCAGGAAAGTAAAACTTTTAAATAAATGTACTGCTTTCTACCGTTAATTATAAGTTAGCGTCTGCGTATGAAAGTTGCACGAAGCTATTTAACAACCCCGAGTTTTAACACCTATGAACTGCTCCGAGGGGTTGAGGTTTGAGTCGCGACAGAACTACTACATATAATCATTGCTGCTCATTATTTTGTTCCAGTGAGAGGCTTATCATGAATGAAGTGTGTTCTACATTCATTACGTTCTACACGACCCTTGCGAGATTCGTAACATACTAGTGGAGAATTAAAGCGCGCTAACCACTGTAAAGAAACCTAATAGACCTTATGAGCTAATTTAATGAGACAGTTGTTCTCCTTAAGGTTCTGATGCTCTGGGTTCAGAGTCATCATCATCTCTGTCATTACGGCTGAATTACATGATTTGTTTAAGGTTTTGCTGCACTAGGTTCAGAGTCATCGTCTTGGACAACATGTCTGAAACAGTTGTACTTCTTAAGGTTCTGATGCTCTAGGTTCAGAGTCATCATCATCTCTGTCATTACGGCTGAATTACATGATTTGTTTAAGGTTTTGTTGCACTAGGTTCAGAGTCATCGTTTTGGACAACATGTCTGAAACAGTTGTACTTCTTAAGGTTCTGATGCTCTAGGTTCAGAGTCATCGTCTGCGATACACAAGTGTTTCAGATGTGGCTGACCATGGTCGTAAATTGAACTTACGTAATTGAGCTTATTTTGTGTGGCTATTTTACAGTACTTACAACCTTAGTTGAAGTTGGTCAAACGTTCTGTTCCGGGAGAAGCACATTCGCAGATGATATTAAATAACTCTGGCCACGTCAACGTGAAAACTGGAAAAACATAAAATCATCATCTCTGTCATTACGGCTGAATTACATGATTTGTTTAAGGTTTTGTTGCACTAGGTTCAGAGTCATCGTCTTGGCAACATGTCGACTCTGAACCCAGAGCATCAGAACCTTAAGGAGAACAACTGTCTCAGACATGTTGCCCAAGACGATGACTCTGAACCTAGTGCAACAAAACCTTAAACAAATCATGTATTTCAGCAGTAACGACAGAGATGATAACTCTGAACCTAGTGCAGCAAAACCTTAAAGAGAGAAAAAGAGAAATTTTAGTTTAATAGTTATAAAAAAATTAAAAACAAACCACATTTAGAAAAATCCTGTTTTCGATTGAACCGGATAAATAACCTTCAAACTAACAAATTAACCAAATAGTAAAACTTCATTTGTTCTACGCGCAAATTAACTTCTTCGAAACGTTAATAAATAGGTTACGCCCCACATGGTTTACGAAACGGTGTTAGCGTAAGTTCTTCCTGCCTTCACTCTTCTTAGACGAAAAAAAAAAATCCCTCACTGCAACATTAGGACTTATGATCTGACATTAAACACAGCAAGTGCATGTATAAGGGGAAATTCTTACATACGTTTTGTGAAAACATATTTCACATTTGTTGAGACGGCTGATGACTAATGATACACTTGGTAATAGGTACCAAAGTAGGCGCATAAGAGTCGCGTGAGAAATATCAACGACTGAATATTTTCATTGGCGCCATGGTTTACGATATAAGCACTGCAGGTGTTTTAATAGCGTAGATATACAATATCCCTCGAGATGAATGCAGGTTCTTGTTGTAGCCTGTCACCCGTTAACTTCAATTAAGAGTTCTCAATGCCTTCGTGTGCGCCGCGGTAGCTTCTATTGATCACCGCGAGAGAGCGCGCGCGATGTCTTCTTATCGTGCGTATGAGAGTGGGAGGGGTGCTGTTGCTATAGGAACAGACAAAAACCGCTGCGTGAAGAAGCATTAGGCACGATCGGTACGTGTAGAAGCAGTCCACGAGCGTTATACGAATACCACTTAGAAACACACACACACATATCGTTTGAGGTAGATTCATTGAGACCATGGGTTTGAGGTGGAAGACTGAAATTAAGAACAGAAGATAGCCTTTCACACAACTGGCGTTTCATTCATTGTTATCAAGTTCGTGGTTACATCGTTCCTCTCCAGAAAGGTGAGACCCAACAGTTCAACAACAGTTTGTTTGTTTTTATTATGTACAAAGCTACACATGGGCTATCTGTGCTCTGCTCACCACGGGTATCGAAACCCGGTTTCTAGCGTTGTAAGTCCGCAGACATACCGCTGTGCCACTGGGGGGGGGGCGTTCAACAACAGAAAGGTAAGATTCAGTTTTTTACCTCTAGAAAGGTGAAATTCAGTTGCTCAACTCCAGAAAGGTGAGATTCAGTTGCTCAACTCCAGAAAAGTGAGATTCAGTTGGTCAACAACAGAAAGGTGGGACCCAGCTGGTCAACAACAGAAAGGTAAGATTCAGCTTTTTAGCTTCGGTAGGTGAGATTCTATTAGGTGTCATAAGGAAGTAATGTTTGTCAGCCAGCTAGTTTGTGGCACTGTTTACGTGGTACCTTCTTGCCTCAAAAGGTGAGATTCAGTTAGTTGCTATTAAGAAGTCAGTTAGTTTCTGAATGACTCCTATCACAGAAAGTATCTAGTACTATCTGTAGAGTAAGATCAACTCAGAACTACCACAGAAAGTATCTAGTACTATCTGTAGAGTAAGATCAACTCAGAACTATCACAGAAAGTATCTAATACTATCTGTAGAGTAAGATCAACTCAGAACTATCACAGAAAGTATCTAGTACTATCTGTATAGTAAGATCAACTCAGAACTATCACAGAAAGTATCTAGTACTATCTGTAGAGTAAGATCAACTCAGAACTATCACAGAACGTATCTAGTACTATCTGTATAGTAAGATCAACTCAGAACTATCACAGAAAGTATCTAGTACTATCTGTAGAGTAAGATCAACTCAGAACTATCACAGAAAGTATCTAGTACTATCTGTATAGTAAGATCAACTCAGAACTATCACAGAAAGTATCTAGTACTATCTGTAGAGTAAGATCAACTCAGAGTATTTGTAAAGTATAACAGAAGTTGTTTTTAGATATCTGATAAAAAAGTATTTTTAAACTACAGCACTCTTTCATAATGTTTTTTTTAAAGAAAAACACTAGGTTATCATAATTAAGATACATCAGGTAGAAAAAAACACTAGATTATCATAATTAAGATACATCAGGTAGAAAAACACTAGATTATCATAATTAAGATACATCAGGTAGAAAAACACTAGATTATCATAATTCTTGAGTTTTCCAAATTATTAAAGAAAGAAAACAGCTTCTTGAAATTATAACAAATTTGTGGATTATTATATCTTTAATGGTGTTTATACTAAGCACACTAGAGCATTCTTAAATATCCCATTTTGTGTGAAAGATTACTCAGGCCTGCGAATTTAAACTTCCTATAAAAGTTTTTTTGGTTTTAATAACGGATTTTCCATAATTTTTTCCATTAATTTTTTTCTATCACGTAAGGATCAAATTATTATTTTGTTTTCCGCAATGAACATTTTTGATTATTATGTTTAGGTTCTAGAACGATCTATAAGACTTTCACGTCGCGATTGGTCTAGAGAAATCTATAGCCAGTGGTTGTCAACATTTTAAGCATAACACAATGTAACCGGATTTCAGTGAAAATGATTCACTTATGTAAAAATACGTATGACGTTTTGTGAAAAATCTGTACATGATGGAGAAAAATGGATATCATTTTCGAATTCAGCTTGTGAATGTTGGAAAATACTTCAAAGCTCTAGAAGATACAGCTTCAAGAATAAATACTACAAAACTTTATATTAATCTATCTAAAAATAAACTTGTCCTATTTTTACAACGTGTTTTATCTATTAATTATACGCATTAATGATAATTGTAGTGTATAAATGAACTTTAATTTTATAGGACAATTGAACGTAGTGAAAAGTTAAAACTTGCTGTTTCTGATGGGTCACAATGTAGGTGTCGCTTTGCTACCTTTACGATATTGTGATTTTAATATTTTGTCAAAATGGCTATGCAAAAAATAATTTTTAAATGTTTAAAAAAAGTTGTACAGGACAGTAACACCGGTCGCAAATAAATGGGTGGGGGGTCTAGGGTGTCCTCCGGTGGAGATTTGGGAGTTAAGTCCCCATAAACGGGGAGACCAGGGAGCTAAGTCCCATGTGCTGCTGACTGTTTGCCCTTACTATACCCACTTGTTTTAAATCTAGCCATAGAGATAACTAGATTTATTATTATTAGAGAATCTTAGACTTAAGTGTAATTAGTCAGTTTGAAAAATAGCTAAAATGCTGTTTTACTTTCGTTACTATTCTTTATTTTCATCCATTATAGCATTCGATAAACTATGATTATCATTTTTATTTTAGTATTTTACTAATTGCTTTCATTACACCACTATATGAGGCCTACTTTGTTTATTTACTTCGATCTTCAAAGCAGTACTGAGCCGTGAATACGGCGAAATTAGTATGTCGAAAGGGGATTAACAAATTAAGAACTAGCAGAGCCCTCTACGTCATATCTTCTCCACAGAAATTTATGATTTGTCGAAGAAAGGAAATTAACAAATAGTGACGATGCAGGATTTCAAGACTTCTAACTAAGACACGTTTGTAACTAACGTTCCTTTCTCTTTCATGAAAAGTGTAAAAACGATTTATATACGCCGGGACTGAAAGTACTCATTTCTACAAAAATGTAGTTATAAACATCAAGCGCTTAATTTTATTTTATATATTATTCTTTTTTTTTTTTTTGCGATAATTAGTAGTGGCTTCCACCACCAGGTGTAAAGGCAAACTTTCTTCCAGGCGCTGAGCAATTTCCTGCTTACAGATTTCATTTCCGCTTAGCTATTTCATTCTCGCCTTCTACAATTTTCTATCAAAAGACGTTCTGATCTTTATTCGTGTTCGATTCCTGATATCCGGGTTTCTGTCATTGAGTTCTACGTGTGTAGTATGTTATAGAACATCTCGCTGTTTCTCGACTATCACGACAACCCTTTTATTCAGCATATTTTCAGTAGAAATGTGTGTGTGTCGATTTTCATTAAACAATTCAAATTTCATATATTTTGAATTCGCATCGTATGAGAATCTGTACATTTAAAAAAAAATGTTTTATTATTTTTCAGAAGTCTTTTATTTATTGACATTTGCCGAAAAGTTTAGTTCAGCGTATCAAATCATAAAACTTTTTTCTTTTTTGGGGGGGTGGGGGGGGGGACGAGAGGGGACATCTTTGAAAAAATTCATTAAATAAAATTTTACTTCTGACAACAACATTGTTTTTTTTGTAATTGAAATAACTTCTAAAACTTAACCGATTACTTTGTAATGAGTCGACTTTTACCTCGATTTTATTAGAAGAGACCGAGGAATCGGTTCATCTACATTTGGTCGTTACTAAATATTATCTGAGGAACGGTTTGAGTCGGTTTCTTTTGGATCACACATTCGTTGTTACTAAATTTCTTACAAAACAATTTCAAGCTTTTACAAGAATTCAAATTTCTGAAAATCTCTACAGATCACTCCACATCAATTATGAAACAAAATTAACCATTCAATAACAATTCGGGAATTTTTGGCACTATTTAAATCAGCTCTTATTTTCTTAGACAAAACAGTATTTCAAACATGAAGGGTTTAACCTTCTTCTTCTTCTACTGAAGTATTTTATTACTCGCTCCTGACGAGGTAATGTCCATCTTTCTAAGATGATTGGACTTTGAACTTTCATAAATTAAGTAACATTCTATACGTTCTTATGGGCTTTTTATTGGATTTCATATTTAAATGATTGAATGAGAGGAATTTGACAGAAATGTTTCCAATTTAAAATGTATTTCTGGTAAATATATTATGGTTATCTCTTGTCTTTACTGACCAGAGAGAAGGTGGTCAGTGAGCAGTACCCAATCATTCACCATCCATGCCACTTCATCCACAGTTTAAAGTCCGGCGATTATTTTGTGGTATTGCAAGGATTCAAATCCGGTTTACCAGCTCCAAAATTCAGAGCTCTACCATGTGGTCAACCCTACGCCCCAAATATAATTTCATCAAATTTCGTAGGCCTCTGTCCTCTTCCTGTCTAAAGAGCTAACTTTTTCTCTGCCTGTCTAAAGAGCTATCTTGCTTTCCTCTGCCTGTCTAAAGAGCTATCTTACTTTTCCTCTGCCTGTCTAAAGAGATATCTTACTTTTCCTCTGCCTGTCTAAAGAGATATATCTTACTTTTCCTATGCCTGTCTAAAGAGCTATCTTACTTTTCCGCTGCCTGTCAAAGAGCTATCTTACTTTTCCTCTGCCTGTCTAAAGAGATATATCTTACTTTTCCTCTGCCTGTCTAAAGAGCGATCTTACATTTCCTCTGCCTGTCTAAAGAGATATCTTACTTTTCCTCTGCCTGTCTAAAGAGCGATCTTACTTTTCCGCTGCCTGTCAAAGAGCTATCTTACATTTCCTCTGCCTGTCTAAAGACATATCTTACTTTTCCTCTGCCTGTCTAAAGAGCGATCTTACATTTCCTCTGCCTGTCTAAAGAGATATCTTACTTTTCCTCTGC